ACAAATATTCGTTTTTTAGAAAGAAGTGTTTCATTGCATTGACAAAGGTTAGTGACAAAAAATGAATTATTCATATATTTTTAATGTAATTTCTATTATAATTATGAACATAACATTTTTAGATAATTTTAAAACCAATAAATAATAATAACTTATGCTATTCAAAAGTACAACTGTATATATATATATATTTGTATATTTATATAATGAATTATGAATTATCTGAGTTTGTATAATTCATTATTTATTTGTATATATTTTTACAATATTTATACTGCATTAACTTTGAATTCGTAATGGCTATGGCTCGTGGTAAAGATTTTTTAACAGAATATTGGTTTGACATATTATTGAGAATTGTCTTAGTGGGATTATTTATGTAAGTTATATCTAATTTATTATAATAAGATAGTGATTATCTAGAAATAAATATATTATGTTTTATATATAGTGAATTAGAAAATGCAGAACCATTTACTAGGAAAATTCATGAAGATGAATTATGGTTATATAAAAATCCAAGAACAGAATCCTATGTTCCAACTACTATATTATGGGTAATGTATTTTATATTATTATATGTTATAATTAAATTTTATATAAAATTAATTTATATATTTTACTTATTTTCAGCCTGTAGTTTTTATAATGCCTGTTGTTGTAATCTTTTGTGTATTTTTGTTCTACAAAGACAAAACTGATATTTATCAAGCAATATTATCTGTAACTTTAGCATTAGGATTTAATGGTATTATTACAGATATTATAAAACTTGTTGTTGGTAAGAGTTATAAAACATTATTTCTGTTTTGAAAATATTATTATTCTAAGAGATAATATCTTTGCTAGGTCGCCCTAGACCAGACTTTTTTTGGAGATGTTTTCCTGATGGACAAACAAATCCAGATTTTAAATGTAATGGAAATCCAGTTGCTATAAAAGATGGAAAGAAATCATTCCCAAGTGGTCATTCCTCTTGTATGTTAAAAAATGAAATATAAATTACATGAAAAAAACCTAAATTTCATTGAAAAATCTATTTATTTTTTAGTCGCATTTGCAAGTTTTGGTTTCATTGCACTGTATGTAGCTGGTAAATTACATACATTTAGTTTAGTGGGCAAAGGACAATCATGGAAATTATGTGCTTTTGTATTACCAATTTGCATTGCTCTTTTAATTGCATTGAGTAGAACTTGTGATTATCATCATCATTGGCAAGGTAAGCACATTTATTTATCGCATTAATAAATAAATATTTTAATTCCAAAAATATTAGATGTAGTTGCAGGTTCCGTAATAGGATACTTTTTGGCATATATATGTTATAGACACTATTACCCACCATTAGATTCACAGGTATGCCATAAACCATATGCTGCTCTTACTCATCAAATTCAATTGGAAAATGCAAGAAACAAAAATGAACAAATCAAGTGGATATAATAAAACAGAGACTTTACAGTATTAAGACTATCAATAATTTAAAATAAAATCGTGAAATTATATATTTTTTACATATTAATTTCCATTATGTGTTATTTATAAATGCAACAAGTAATATAAGTGTATTTATATTGTAAATATACACTATGTATTATTTAAAAAATGCCAATGTAATCAATAAAAGTTACTTGCTTTAGTGAGAATGAATACTTGCTTTATTTGAAATTGCTTGAAATAGCGTGATTGAAATATTCGCGGGTATAATGAAGATCGGTATATTGCGCATATCCGCCATTTTGGAAATTTCGCGTATGGTGCGCCATCAAGTTGGTTTAGTTAAATAGGAGCAGTCACGAAGTCGATGGTGTTAGTGCTTTTTGGAAGCTTTTTATCTTGATGGTTGTACGTGCATCTTTATGAATTTTTGAATTCGTTTGAATATTTCGTACGTTTCCAAAGGGAGATAACATTACATTTTGCGTATTGTTCACGAATGATATCTTAATATACATTCTCCGCGTAAATTAATAGCTATATCAGGTTTCTCGGATCTGTGAAGTGACATAGTTATTTACGAGTTGTTGTGTTGGTGAAATGTTGTCTCAACTTCCTGTACATGGCGAAGACTCGTGAGCGTCGTCAGTCGTGTTGAATAGTCAAACGTTAGTGTTCAAACGGTGTTTTATCCTTTTTACAAGGATTCTCTTGTCAAATTGATAAATTCATATCATCTGAATTAATTATATTGTGCCAGTTCTGTGTGAAAATGATGAACATGGAAACAGATGAAATTATCGAAGACACAAACACGAATCTTCAGGTACGCAACATATATTAGTATTTTTGACCCGAAACCTACCGCCATCTTATGTCTTCTTATGATGGAGAAATTCACTAATATTTTACGATCGACCGTTATTCCCTGCGAAGTTTACACCTGTTATATGTATTTTCTAATGAATCAATCGTAAGAATACCTTGTGTATATGAGAGGTTATAGAATGCGATTAAGTGCTATCATATATGATTGCCATCATTTCACGAAATTCTCCTGTATCAGAATATTTATGTACGTCTAATAGTGACAGTTATTACCTTAATGAAAATTAAGATTGCGTCATTGTTAATTTTCGTTTTTTATTCAACCAAATTAATATCACTATATACATGTCATTATATTTGTATAATATTGCAAAAATTTAACATTGATTGCAGAAAATGTATCTCAATGAATATGATTAAAAATACATATTTTTGTTGAAACAAAATTGTACTCGCACGCCATTGTGCGATCAGCATTGCATTTCTACTATAAATATTCTAATATTTATCTAGTTGATCTATATTATTACTTTTATTCGAACATATCTTTCTTTAAATTTTTTACTTTTACAAATTTCTAACACAAAATAAGAATTTACAATATAGTAATGATTTTATTGCTATAGAATCATAATATTAAGGTATTATTTGCTAATTCTTTTTTCACTTTTATTATTACAAAACTGATATTTTATTGAGAAATTATTAGTTAGCTAATATAATATAATTAACAATAACGTAATTTCATTGGGTACAATCGTTTTCGTTGTCAGAACAAGGAATTCGTTGAAATACAAGTTTAATTTTCAAGCTTGGCAGCGCGAGAACAACTTACTACATGATCAATGTTTTAGCACGATCAGTTTGTCTTTTCTCTTTTTTCTGCGATCCTTAACTTTTTTTTAGCCTTTTCTTCGTAATTTTATACTAAGCCGTATTATATTCGTAGTAATATAGCGTTATAAACAATCGAATAGAATCTCGATTCTCTTGCATTTATTTCTTTATATGCGCTTACAGTTGTTATAAAAATTTGTGATTGATTTTTATTATCCACATTTGTTATTTAATGTTATAGTGATATTGATCTATACGTATAATTGGATATAAGCCAGAACGTCGAAGAATGTAGACTTGAATGTAAAAGAATTTAGAGTTTTTATGTCCGATTGTTAGAATAATCTTAAAAAACGTCTTAAAATTCGTAAAGGAATAGTACGTATATAAATTTCGTCCAAATTACACATTGTTTGTTACAGAAATCACTTTTTTAAAGATAAAATATAGTAGATTAATCTGATAGATAAGATAGATAAAATTTAAGAATACGATCCGTGCGTGTGTCGAGTTAAATTATGACGTGTGTAGAGCAAATCGTTAGAGAATCTTGTGAATTTATGTAATGTTATTTTCATTAATGGGATACGAGTACATTTGTGTTATCATAGTTATTAGAATTATATTTATTAATATTTTTATTACATTATTCTATTGTTGGCCAATAAAACCCTATATTGTATTGTCAAGATACAAGTACATGACTCATCATTCCAGTTTCGCTCATTGCTACATTACCATGCACATTTTTAATTCTTCAGTTTTTTATTTTAATCCAATCCTGTATAAATGAGCAGCAAATACTTAAAGATAGTGAGAAAGCGTTATATCACGATTAACAATTTACGATTTTTATAAAATATTATAAAATCGAATGTACATGATTCTTTTTACCCTTTTCCTTTTTTTATTTTAGAGACTTGTTGTTCTTGGAACTTTTCGTTGCTTTATATTTTCTGAGACAAATAGCATTCTGAAATTTAATGCCGCAAGTATTCATAATCAAGGACGACAGGAAATTTCGAAACGTTCGCGTAGCTTATTGTTATATACATATATGTACTTTGAAATGTATAATACTTTTTATGGTTTCTTTTTTCCATTATGAATTTTATATTTCCGTTCACTTTCACGTTTACGAATATATTTCTAGTCACGAATATGTTCTTACGCGTGAATCTACACCAGCAATGTATAGATTCTTTTCATGCTTATATTTATTATCGATAAACGATAAAAAAAGAAAAAGTGTCGGTAAATGTACAGATAAAAAATCACAAGGGACGTGCTTTTCTACAATTTTTTCTTGATTGCTTTCCTTCATGATCTGATGCACATGCGAACGCTAATGATAATATTGTAGATTAGATATGTATGTATTTCGAAGAAATATCGGCCAATATAATTTGTCGCTATCGAAATAATGTCTTTCTATCTTATACATCAATCTGTAAAAACCAATAAAATACGATTCATTAGCATTTCGGTGTACGTATTTAGACATTACTACCTGTTTAACTTCTGTATGAAAATTTCAAATCCACACACACACACACACACACGTATGTATATATATTATATATATGTATATTATATATATATATATAAAATGTTCGTTTACTTGAAAATTCTCGTTTTACGTGATTGCTTGTTAAAATGGAAAGAACATGTAAAGGGTACGAAGACAAAGAGATACAAAGAGCATAGATTCGACACGAGACACGAGTTCGCGATCCCGTTATACTGGGAACACCGTACTGAGAAACATTTTCAGATGATCGAGGTATACTTCTCGGTCGCCCAGGACTCTTCAACGTTGCTATGCTATTTTTTATAGCTGAGTGATCACGATATCTTAAATCTTTCGATTTAAGATATCGTGTACTTATAATGCACATGCATAACAATGTAATTACATACTTTTAGAAGTTTCGTGTGTTACTCTTCATATATAAAGATGCATTGATGGATCTTTTTTTTTTTTTTTTTTTTCTATTAAAAAAATGCGAAAAATCAAATTTGCGTTTGTAAAGAATGATATGAAGGTAGTGGCGCAATCCTAAGTTGTAAAGATTAGTTGAATTTCAGAATTTTTTTTGTATTATAAGTAATTATAAAGTGAAAAGTTCAAGTTCTTATGAACGAGATTAATGTAGCCTTATCTTCGGTTTGTAATCTTTTTTTAAAGGAAATTGTTGCAAATAGCGAAGTTACTTTGTTACATTCGAAACTTTGAAAGAGAAAATACAAAATTTTAATAATTGTAGAAATTGTGAAACAATTTTGCATGACACGATCATTCCTATAATTTCGCTGTAGGAGTTTGACAAATTTGATAAACCGCTTTAAAATATTCTACGCGTTTAAAAATAAAATTAAGAGAAAAATTATCAAAATGGTTCACTCCCTCAATGATGAGCCAATGTTTCTTTATTTGCGATTATGGTATAGGAAATGTGTTTCGTTCGTTTAAATTTTTGGAATTTATTGTGAAATATTTAATGAGATATGAGTCTATTATAAGAGTTTTCGCTTTCAGAGGTAAGCACTAACAAGTAGGTCAGATACGAAATATTGGATTAGTGCAGGCCACGGTCCGTCGATATAATTTTCTTTATACGAATCGTGTACTAATACGAGTTAAGCGGTAAACCATTTCCTTTTCCTATTTTTCCCCCTAATGGCCAATGTTATTACATATGTTAAATGCCACATTAAATTATTTCAATCAACAAAAAAATGCATTATTGTTTCTTATTCTTTTTATGAATAATTATGTATTTAGTGTATTCACGACTTTGTTTTAAAGTATGATCATCGATTAAATATATTTGTAGGAAGTATCGTGATTTAAAAGGACAAATTGGATGTTTAAAATGTTAATATCTGCAAACGTTTGATGTTTTGTATAGAGGGTAGCCTATCTGAGGTCAAGAACCCTGATACCATATTCTATCTTAACATACATGTCACCTAATAGCTTTACTACTATTTTATATGATACTTCTACGTATATTCATATAATTGACAATATTCATTATGATTTAGTTATGTATTAGAAAATTTTTAAATATACAATAAAAAATATATCTGAGTATTTTTATATACATCCCTTGAAGTATGTAACACATTTATAATATATAATATATAATAAATATATATTTGCACTATTATCAACTTTAAATCAAATTGCAAACAATTTTTTTTTGATTTAGAAAAAAAAGTATCTTTATAATATGTATAATTTTTACAATGTTTTTTTTGCAGTATCCAATAACGATACTTTATGATCCTACACGCAAGAAAGAATTGCCATCTGGATTATCGGCACAATATAGACAAGAAAAAGAAACTTGTATGAAACTTTTTGAGAAGTGGAGTGAACCAGAACAAGTTAACTTCGTTGAACAATTGTTAACAAGGATGTGTCACTATCAACATGGTCACATCAATGCATATCTGAAACCAATGTTGCAGAGAGATTTTATTTCTCTATTACCAAGTGAGTATTTTTACTGAAACATACTATTAAATCTTTCATGAATTACTTCTTTGTTTTTAGAAAAAGGATTGGATCATGTGGCAGAAACTATTCTTTCCTATCTTGATGCTGATTCACTAATTGCTGCCGAACTAGTATGTAAAGAATGGCTCAGAGTAATTAGCGAAGGAATGCTTTGGAAGAAATTAATTGAATGTAAAGTTCGGACTGATACAATATGGAGAGGTCTTGCAGAAAGGAGAGGATGGTTAGTAAATATATTCTATGAAATTTCGTTTTGTATCTGTTGATTTATTAATCTTTCTAGGATTCAGTATTTATTCAAACCAAGACCAGGAGAAAGCCATCCAAATCATAATTTCTATAGATCTCTTTATCCCAAAATAGTTAAAGATATTGATAGTATAGATAACAATTGGAGAATGGGAAGATTTAATCTTCAAAGAATAAATTGTAGAAGTGAAAATTCGAAAGGTGTTTACTGTTTACAATATGATGACCAAAAAATTGTCTCTGGTCTTAGAGACAATACAATTAAAATTTGGGACAGAAGTACATTGCAGTGCATTAAAGTCTTAACAGGACACACTGGTTCTGTTTTATGTTTACAGTATGATGATAAAGCAATAATATCTGGTTCCTCTGATAGCACTGTGAGAGTTTGGGATGCTAATACTGGCGAAATGGTTAATACATTGATACATCATTGTGAAGCAGTCCTACATCTTAGATTTAATAATGGCATGATGGTCACTTGTTCAAAGGTAAATAAATTTTTTTATCTACTTTATGTTCTTAAACATCAGTTTTAAATTTTAAGTTAAGAAATTTTTAATCTATTTTATGTTTTTTAAATTACTATTTGTTAATTATATTTAGGATCGTTCAATTGCTGTATGGGATATGACATCACAAACGGAAATTGCATTAAGAAGAGTATTAGTGGGGCATAGGGCAGCAGTAAATGTTGTTGATTTTGATGAAAAATATATCGTTTCTGCTAGTGGTGATAGGACTATTAAAGTATGGAAAACATCTACTTGCGAATTTGTGCGAACATTAAATGGACACAAGCGGGGTATAGCGTGTTTGCAATATAAGGACTGCTTAGTAGTTAGTGGCAGCAGTGATAATACAATCAGATTATGGGATATTGAATGTGGTGCGTGCTTACGCGTTCTAGAAGGACACGACGAATTAGTCAGATGTATTAGATTTGATAGCAAGCACATAGTTAGTGGAGCTTATGATGGGTACGTACAAAAATATTTTTATTGTATCTCGTATTTTACACTATTATAATAACTTTATATTTATTACTTTATGTTATAGAAAAATTAAAGTATGGGATTTAGTCGCTGCACTAGATCCACGTGCTCTAACTAACTCATTGTGCATACGTACATTAGTGGTGAGATATTTTATATATTTTATTTTATTTTATATCAAAGGCTTTAATATTAACGATATATATCTGCAATATAGGAACATACAGGTCGTGTATTTCGTCTTCAGTTCGATGAGTTCCAAATAGTATCGTCATCGCATGATGATACAATATTAATATGGGATTTTCTAAACTTTAATCCATCAAATGGATCTGTATCTTGTGGGCCTGCAACAATAAATGCATCAGGTGTGAATCAATCTGATACTAGATCTCCATCTCGTAAGTACGATAAGAAAGATCTTTGCTTTATGTACTTGATATTTTCTAACATTATAAATTATTTGTATAGCATTCGAGTGACGCATCCCTATGAATATTCCTTCATTGTGATATAATTGTAAGTTTAATATGTTATTTAAAATAGAAGGCATAAATTTACGTAGTTTATGAATTTTTTTTTCGGAATTACAAAATATTCCTTGCTTGTTATACTTCATATGTTAAATTTGAATATTTTTTTCAGACAAGTGATTAGTGAATGAGTTCAATGTGTTCACGGTAGTGTACGCAGAAAATGAAGAATCAGTGTTCAGTGTGAACAGCGCCTAGAAAAAAACAGAATCTCAGAAATACACACGGTCATTGATTTTTGTTTATTGTTTGCTGTGAAAAGCAAAAGTAATTCTCTAAAATAGGATGTATATGGGGTGATACGAATTAATTTATATGCGCTTGACGCACTGCGTTTAGTAACGAACAGTATAATTAAAATCGCATAAATACATCCCATGGATGTAAACAATTCTTTGCTTTGGCCATATTTGGAATTCTTCTACGCTCTATGACATGATAGAAGTTGACCACTTTCCTACTACTATGAAAAAAAGACTTACGATACGTAAAGAAAATGAAAACGTTTTTAGGCTGGATACACTTAATAAGATGTTAGCTGTATTATAGTAAATTAATAATTTTTTTTAAATGTAATTAATTTATAGTAAGGAGATTGTAAAATGCCGTTTGATTGGAGTACTTATCTGGTGTGAATGTGGATATTCAAGTCTTGATATGTGGAAAGATTATTATACCTATCATATTTCATTATCTTCTAAATCTAGCTAATGTGAATTTACTATACCCATGTTTAGTATTATAGATGTACAGCCGTTAATCGAAAACATAGTAGTTTCCATGGACATTAATTTTATGAAATTTATATTATATATTGAAAAGTAAATGGAAAGTAAATAATCTCTACACAGTCATTGATAAAATATCGTTTGCATTTAAAATATAAAGTTTTGTTGTACCGAGCTGTAAATATTGATTCGTAAAGCAGCAGTATAATGACTCTGAGGTAATCTTAACTGTTGTGAAAGAATTATTGTGTTTTGACTAATGATCTCGGATGTTTCAATTTTTGTTTAAGCTACATCACACCGTTTCAATTATAAATTATAAGTGTGCTGAAAAATATTATATGAGTTAAAATATAATTCTCATTTTCTAGATTTTATAAATGCTACCAAGGACATTATTTTTATTCCTACGTTAGTAGTAGTAACAAAAATATGTTTATTTATTGGTATACTGAACAATAGAATAAACATGATATCTTCTCAAAATTGTCACAAAATAGTAATATATATATATAAATATATATACATATATATTTCAGTAAATATTGCGACAATGACTCAGATATTTTGACCACATTGAAAAATTAAAAGCCAAGCTTACAAATATGTAATCCTTGATATTGATTTCAATACATATACTTTAAATTTTATATAACATAGATTTTGCATGAAAAGTAAACTGTGAATATGTGCTTAAAAAAAGAAGGAAAAAAATCTATTAGAGATAAAAATGTGAAATTACTTCATTTTTGCATTACATAAATAACAGAAAGTATATTAAATAGTACTTGTACATTATAATATTAATATTATACAAATTTTTACATTAAAGGGGAAAAAAATTATATGCAAAATTAAATGAAAAATTATGAACTGCATGTAGTCAAGTCGGGTACAAAGAATTGTGATTTTTAAGCTAGAATGATGGCATGAAAAATTTTCTATAACTTTATGGTATGTATATATGGGACTCCAGTGCAAATATTACTTTTGTAGTATGCCGCATGTTCTTAATTCTTAAAATTTAATGAAAAGTATAGCATAATAGAGAAAAATAACATAATTGTGGCAGTTATAATATAATCTCTTTATAGGCACATACTTCATTATACTACAGCTATCTAAATACGTACATATACAAGTAGTAAAATTATATATTGCTGTTTCTTGTGTTCCACTTTAGAACGTAAAAATATACGTATATATATTTTTTATTTAGATTGGGGTCTTAAAATACTTTAGTGAATAAATACATTAAAGTATGTAAAATTTTTATTATACAAAATTTGTTTCATAGTAATTGTGATATTTACTTAAGAATGAAAAATACAAAGTCCTAAAATGTTTAATTTCATGATGAGCGACAATGTGTCTTAAACATAACTTAGTTTTGATCATAATGTAACTGGTACATCTGTTCAAAGTAATATTATGACAGAATATCTTTAAGAGAACATTGTGATGTTTATTGTTAATATTGATATAAAATTTCATGTATGAAATTAGTTACGCAAAAATAACATGAAGGCTGTGGAACTTGAAATATAATACCTATGCAAGAAGATGCAATTTTAATGGAAAAAAATATCCATCATTATCCCTTAAATTTAACATACTTTTGTCAAAATCAAATTGTAATTAATAGAAAATTTATTTTAAAATGTTATTACATCTTTTTAAGAATGTTGAAGCCTTAATCCCTTTGAATTTAAATGAACGAAAATTTACTAATGAAAATTTTAGTAATTAGTACTAATGATCAAAGCTATTGATAAAATTAATATTCACAAAAATGGGTAATATCTTTTAGTATTTATGATCAATCTTTTACTTGCATTTTAATCCTTTTCCATTAAAAATAGTATTACAAGGTAAAGTTCCTAATAAATTTTATCAGATTATAATTTTCATTGTTTTAGATTTTAAAAAAAAAGTTTACTCATAAAATTAGAAGAGAGTGTATTTTGAATATATTTGAAGTTAATATATACTTTTTTTATATAACAATATGGAATGATGCATTAGTTTATTATGTTGCAAAAATAAAGTTTTGCAACATGTAGAAATTACTTTGACAAAAGAGAAGGCCCCAATCTGAATGTACAAAACATCATTATGACACAATGCTACAAAATATGCAAAAATTAATGCATAATCAGTCATAAATCATCATTAATAACAATCTTTTTTTTCAATTTTTTTAAATTTTACAAAAAACTCAATTTAAGGCAAAAAATATGTAACGAGTATCAAAAATATTTATGTATAATATTGATAAAGAAAAAAATAATGATTATATCTAATACTATTCTCCTTTTATTTGAAATGAGAAGTTCAAAATATTCAACAAATTTTAGTTCTTGCAAATTGTGGATTTTTATTTTTATAATGAATATTTTATAATTATTTTTTATTTATGAGATACATCTAAAAGATATAGAATTCATTTATAATTTCGTGTTCAATCTTTGTATAAAATATTTGTAAAATCATTCTTTTGATGGAATTATTTGAAAAAAATATGATATAGTAATTTTTAGATTTTTGATATTATACTGAAGAATATTGTAATTTCTACTATGAAATTTTATTCTTTGTTATTTCGCGTAAGGTGAATATAAGTATTGAATTTTTATTGTTTATAGTAAATGCTAGACAAAGGTAATGAACAACAAAGCTAATGTTTTCAAATTAGCTGTCGGTTGACCTATGAAATCAAATTAAACGTATTGTAACGTAATCTAATACTATTATTCGTAATTTTCACAATTAATATAGTGAAAATTCGGCTTTAATTATTCTTCCGTCTTTATATAACAAAGGGTTATGAATATTTTTTTCTTTTGTTAATAAAGGTGGCGTTGTTGACGCTTCCGAAAACGTCGCTTCTACATAACATGTTGTGGCAGTCAAGATTAAAGCATGTGATCCTGCCTTCATTGTAGATAATACAAAGCTGCGAAAATGGCGGACGAACAGGTGAGTTACCGATCAAAATAACGTGCAAACCTCAAAATGCTGTAGAGTTATTTATGATGAAGTGATTTTAAAAATCGTGTGATAAGCCTGTCGGTGGTAAATCTGTTGCAAGTTATGTGGTTTCGACGTGTGTCCCAAACATTTTGCTGCCGGGAAACTTAAGTATTCTTGGAAGCTACGTTGTTTGTTGCCGGACCACAGTGATTATTTTGTCACACTGTCAATGAAAATGCAATCATAAACTGAAAGATTTTTCCGCTTTAGCTTTACTGACATCTTACTATACAAATAAAACCATGTAGCCAATATGTAAAACTTTAATCTTGTTTTCGTAAATAGTATTTTGTGCAGATATAATTCTAAAGTTTCAGAAGATAATTAATGGATGAAAATATCATCTAAATCGTGAATTTTATATTTGAATATTATTATTTGACTAAAATTTTAATTGATTCTGTTGTACTTGTATTAAATTATTGTCTGAAATTACTTTAAAAATGTGGCATAACCTATCCACTTTTATTTTGCAACATAAATTAAGATGTTTTTTTCTGTTATTTTGATATATTAATTTTCCTATTATGTTAATTACAAAAGTTTTTTTTATCAATCACGATCTCTGAATTGAATTAAAAATAATACAAAAATATTCTAAATACACACACTTTTGCAGATATGCATTTGTAATTTTTTAAGCAAGTGTCAGTTTGAAATTCCGTTAATTATTAATACTTGTTATATATTTACAAAATTTAAATAAATGTATAATCTTGAAATGCTTAAAATTAAAAACATCAACTATCGTTAATTTTATGATAAAAAATAAAGTTGATAATTTTATATAATTTTTCTCATTTGTTTAAAAAATTATAAATTTATGGTAAATAAATAATAAAAATAATATGTAATAATTAGTTTAATATTTATTAATATTTCTATGTATCTTTTTTTAATTTTAATTTGATTATTTTTTTTAATAATAATCATGCTTGATAATATTGTTTAAAAAGAAAATTATATTATAAATAAACGACATGATTTTAAAATACTGTCTATTTGTTGTAATGTAATTAAAGAATATTTAAATATTAATTTTTATATATCAAAAATAAATAAAATTGTATTAGTATAAAAAATACCTGAATATAACTGAAATAAGTGATTAAATTTATTAAAAAATCTGAAAAGTGAAATAATGTTTTTGAAATATATAAACTAAAAATAACTACATGGAAATATTGTTATCTGTGATGAATTATATCATTAAGAATGGATCACATACAGGAAGTACGGCAGCTGGAGTTGCTATGCAAGCAGTTGTATGAATCACAAGATTCTACGCATCGTGCAGAGGCTGAAAAAGCACTCGTTGCTTTTCAAAATGCTCCAGATACGCTTACGAAGTGCCAGCTCCTACTTGATCGAGGAGATTCTCCATATGCTCAATTATTGGCAGCCACTACTTTGACAAAATTAGTTTCCCGTTCATCAGGACTTAGTTTACAACAGAGGCTTGACATACGTAAGTGTATTTATTTTTTCATAAAACAAAATAATCGATGATAATTAAATCTAATATTTAATTTTAGGAAATTATATTCTGAATTACTTAGCAACTCAACCAAAGTTACCAAACTTTGTAATACAAGCTCTGGTTACATTGTTTGCCAGGATATCAAAGTTTGGTTGGTTTGATATTGATAAAGATAGAAGTGTGGTCAGTGATGTAACAAAGTTTCTTCAGGTTAGTTATTATTTTTTTAGTTTCTGAATGTTTATCTTTTATAATTATGATATTATTTTAATACAATATACAGGGATCGGTGGAGCACTGTATGATAGGAGTCCAATTACTTTCTCAATTAACATGTGAAATGAATCAAGTGTCAGATGCAGACGCAAACAGATCTATTACAAAGCATAGAAAAATTGCCAGTCACTTCAGAGATACTCAACTTTTTGAAATATTTAGGTTATCATATACTTTATTAAGTACAGCTCGAGAAAATTGTAAAAATTTAAATTTTAATGATGAAGCACAGGTATGTCTTTCATTTCTTTCTTTCTCTATTTATAATAAAATTTTAAATTGTTATATATATATATAAATATTATTATTATTACTTTTTCTTTTTTTTATTTAGCATGGTCTGATCAGACAACTTTTAAAGCTAGCACAAAATTGTTTGACATTTGACTTTATTGGAACATCAACAGATGAAAGTTCTGATGATCTCAGTACAGTACAAATTCCAACTTGTTGGAGACCTGTATTTTTGGATTTTACATCACTGAAACTTTTCTTTGATTTATATCATAGTTTACCTAACTCATTATCATCTTTGGCCCTTTCATGTTTGGTCCAAATAGCATCTGTGAGAAGGAGTTTATTTTCAAACCCAGAAAGGGCACAATTTTTAACACACTTAGTTAGTGGTATAAAACATATATTACAGAATCCCCAAGGTCTCAGTGATCCTGAGAATTACCATGAATTTTGTAGACTATTATCAAGGTTGAAAAGCAATTTTCAACTTGGGGAATTGGTTTTAGTCAAAGATTATCCAGAAGCTATACAATTAATTGCAAAATTTACAATACAAAGTTTACAGATGTGGCAATTTGCACCGAACAGTTTACATTATTTATTAACTTTGTGGCAAAGAATGGTGTCTTCTATGCCTTATGTAAAAGCAGGTGATCCACATCTATTAAATACATATACACCAGAAATTGTGAATGCATATATTACTTCAAGACTCGAATCAGTTGCAATAGTAGTTAGGGAGGGTTTAGAAGACCCACTTGATGATTTAGGAATAGTTCATCAACAACTGGAGCAAATATCTGTAATTGTGAGGTGTGAATATCAAAAGACATGTACTTTGTTAGTGCAACTTTTTGATCAAGCTGCTAGAACATACCAAGAATTAATGACACAAACTGCATCTCCAACCCAACAAATGGATATCACTATACAAGAAGGTCAATTGACCTGGCTTGTATATATCATAGGTAAAAAAATTTGTAAATTAACAAATACAGAAAAATAAAAACATGTTAAATGTGAATTATTGATATTTAAAAAATAGGTGGTGTTATTGGTGGAAAAATAACATTTAACAGCAATGAAGAGTATGATGCAATGGATGGTGAATTGGTTTGCAGAGTACTCCAATTGATGAATTTAACTGATTCAAGACTTGCACAAGGTGGCTGTGAAAAATTGGAGTTAGCAATGTTGAGCTTCTTTGAACAATTTCGTAAGGTATATGTAGGTGATCAAGTTCAAAAAAATTCTAAAGTATATAGAAGACTGTCAGATGTTTTAGGAGTTAATGATGAATCTATGGTTCTTGGTATTCTTATTCGGAAAATGTAAGTAAAAAGGATACTTGTCCAGAGATTATTTGAATTATTTGAGGACTTAAGATCTTAATCTTGCATTTTCAGAATAACAAATCTGAAATATTGGGGTCGTAGTAAACAGATTATTTCGAAAACATTACAATTATTAAATGATTTATCTGTGGGATATAGTTGTGTCCGTAAACTTGTAAAATTAGAAGAAGTACAATTTATGCTCAATAATCACACAGTATGTATAAATATATATAAAATTCATTTACAAAAAGTTAGAAACGAAACACTGTATATATCTTTTTTTTCTTTTACTAATAGAGAGAGCATTTTCCATTTTTGGGAAACAATGTTGCTGTAACAGAAATGCGCTGTAGATCAATGTTTTACACATCCTTGGGTAGATTATTAATGGTAGATTTAGGAGAAGATGAGGAAAGGTTTCATACATTTATGTTACCTTTGACAAGTATGAAAGCGATTTTGTATCCAGAATTCTAGTAACATATTTATTTAATATTTATATTTGTATTTTTCACTTATAGATGCATTTGAAAGTTTAGGACAGTTAATTGGTCCTGCTGATCCATCACTGTTTGCAGCAGAAGAAGCAAAAAAAGCACTCATTGGTTTAGCAAGAGATTTAAGAGGTTTAGCTTATGCATTCAATACAAAAACTTCTTATATGATGCTCTTTGATTGGATGTATCCTTTTTTAAAACATGATTTGATAAATAGTTAATAGAATGATAAATAAACAGAAGAATTTGCATATATTCTAAATAAAAGAACTTGCATATGTATGTGATATATATAAAGTACCTTAATTTATATATAGTTATCCCAATTATACACCGATTTTATTACACGCTGTGGAATTGTGGCATTATGAGCCACAAGTTACTACACCCGTCCTAAAATTTTTTGCTGAATTAGTACAAAATAGAAGTCAACGATTACAGTTTGATGCATCTTCTCCAAATGGAATTTTATTATTTCGTGAAGCTAGTAAAGTAATATGTAGTTATGGTAATCGTATATTAAACGTTGAAGTTCCAAAGGATCAAATGTACCCCTTAAAACTTAAAGGGATAAGTATATGCTTCAGTATGTTAAAAGCAGCTTTATGTGGAAGTTACGTAAATTTTGGTGTGTTCAGATTATATGGTGATGAAGCATTGGATAATGCACTTAATACATTTGTAAAATTACTTTTTAGTATACCACAAAGTGATTTATTGGTATGCATTAGTTAACTTATGTAAATGTCATATTCAAAAGATATAAAGACAGTTGTTTTGCAATTTAACATTGTTTCTTTCTTTTTTATAGGATTATCCGAAACTATCTACGACATATTTTGTGTTGCTCGAATGTTTGGCTCAGGATCACATGGTTTTCCTTTCTACTTTGGAACCTAGAGTATTCTTATACATATTATCAAGCATCAGTGAAGGCCTTACAGCACTAGGTGCGCAAAAAGACTCCTATACAGGTCTGTGCGGCTGATTCTATTTTATTATCATTCTCTTATCCTCTATGCCATGCAACAAATTATAAGACCTATAAATCATTTAGAATTTCTTTCTTATAAAAAAAATATTGAATATTTCGTATTCTATTTCTATAAAAAATTAATAAATTATAAATTAATAAATTATAAATAACTGAAATATAGTAGAGATTTCAATTGCAATTAATTACACGATTTAATAGTGTTTTTATTGGACCTTCTTTTTTATTAAAAATATACATAAATCTTATTTCATGCATGTATGAATTCTTATTGGACGATGTCAATACAATTTTATGATCATCAATGTAAAGTATAAAAAGTCGGACAAGATATTAGTTAATAAGAATGTTTAATTTTGTTTATGTTTACTTGCTTTTTGCATTGTTGCTTGGAATGTAAATCTGCATTTAGGTATTAGTTATTGCTATAGTTTCAAAGTTACAGAAACAAATGTATGCTGAGTAATTTTTAAAAATGTATGCATATAAGGAGAATGATTCAATCACCATAATCAGTATAGGCAATGAGAGGATTGGAGTTTGTAGAATCTAGACCCTGCTAATTGTTCTATTGCCTTTCATCCTCTTCTTTCGTTTTCAAATTTTTATTCCTATTTTTAATATTGTATTTGATAATAATATTGTATTAAACAATTCATGAATTCTTTATATATTATAGTGGGTCTAGCACACATAGTCAGCCGCACAGCTGGCATGCTACTAAAATATTACTATTTATAGTTATAAGTTTTTAAATTACTAATTTACTAATCATGTGTTGTTTTCATGCTTTGTTTTCTATCCAATATGACATGTAAAATTATGAGCAACATATTATGAATAATTAAAAATCAATAATTATTGTTTGTTCATTTACTTGTTCAAGATCGATAAAAATTATTTTTTTATTTTTTTCTTTAAGCTTTTTTTGTATTTAAATAAAATCTCATTCTTATAAATTAATCAAAAAAGTAAATAAACTAATAATTTTGCAGACTATATTATTTTTAAGGTAGGTCTCTATATTAAGTTCTGCAATATTAATAAATATTAATAAATATTTATTTATGTTCTCATATTATTATTATTTTAATAGTTACTTTTATTTAGCAGTTTTTATTTTACTTTAATCAAATATAAAACGTAAAATAAAAATAACAAAACTTTATTGCAGATACAATGGTCTGTACTGGTTGTTGTGCAACACTTGATCATATTGTAACTTATATATTTAAACAACTATATCAAAAAGGTATTATTTACTTACTATATTATTGTGTGTGTCGTGCATGTGTGCGTGTGTGTGTGTGTGTGTATTAATGTATTTAAATACAATCTTTTGTACCCTTTTTGTCAGGGGGATATCCAGGAAGAAAAAATGCGGTAGTTTCAGGAGGTGGAGATTTATTCTTACAAGTTCTGAAACAACATCCTGAAATTCTTCAGCAAATGTTAAGTACTGTTTTAAATGTGATAATGTTTGAAGATTGTAGAAATCAATGGAGTATGTCACGTCCTCTCTTGGGATTAATTCTTTTAAATGAAGAAGTAAGTGCATTTTACTTCTTACAAAGATCATATTAATAAGTTCATAAAAAGTTTGTGATTTTGCACCAAAATTAAATATTTATTGTTACAGTATTTTAATCAATTACGAGAGAATATTATTAGAAGTCAATCAGTTGATAAGCAAGCAACAATGGCACAGTGGTTTGAAAATTTAATGGAAGGGATTGAAAGGAACTTACTCACAAAAAATAGAGATAGGTAATAAAAATTCAAAGAAAAAGTTATACAAAATTATATAATAACATCTATCCATGTTTATGTATGTATTTCTTTTTCCTTAGGTTTACACAAAATTTATCATTATTTAGAAGAGATATAAATGAAACTTTAAAAGGACTTAATACAGCTCCAGATCCTATTAGTGATATTTTAATCTTCAGTTAGATTTTCTTAGGTTCTTGCCTGCCAAATGCTTGAATGTGTGTGCGAGTGAACTATAAATTATGGTGGATTTAAAATTATGATTTTAGATGAGTATAAAGATAATAAATTAAGTACTGTTGTTTCACAAAAGCATTATTGGCTTCCTATTCTTTATAATATTAACCTTTAGTTCATTCTTAAATATGTTGAATTTAGTTATTTCAAAATTTAAGAGATCAAAATCCAAGTTTCATTTTTTAGTTATATATATAAAGTTTATATATTTCATCCTAAATTCATAAATAAAAGAGACTAAATTCTTATTACCTTTATACTCCTGTTACATTGATTTAATGTGATATAAAATTAATAAATATTCGAGTATATATATTTGAAATACAAAAAATGATTGGTAACAAACATGTTAAATTTCAGAAATCAATAATTAGTGCATATTAAGTAAATTTGTATAACAAATTGATTGGATTTTATTTGCCTTTAACAAGTATTTACATCATCAATTTAAGATAATAATATTTTTGTCTTATGTTAATATTAAAGCATTTATTTCAAACATAAATGATTTCTTTCATACTATATTTTAGTAAAAATTAAAGTTTCAGTGCCAAGAAATATCTTTTTACGTATATTCATAATATATATATTTGCATCTTATTTTAAATAAACAATAAGTTATCATCTTAATTACTAAACACTATTTTAAAACTGCAACCTAGAATAGGAAGCCAACTGCATTAGGCATGAACTATTATCCTAGATTTTATTTTATTATTCTTACACGTAACCGACTTCCCTTTATTTAAATATTTCATTACTAAAATATTTTTTACTACATATAAGTTTAAAATCATTTTATAAATTAAAAGAAATTGATAAGTCATTGTCAAATATTGTTCAATAACTGGTATTTTATTGAAAAGTTAAATTGTTTAAATGAATATTATTGAATAAATCATTCATAACATTAATAGTATCACAAAAAATATCATTACACTATGCATAATTTGCTTACAAATATATCTCGTTATTATCATTGTCATTATCATCATCATCATGATTATTATTATTATTATTATATTATTATTATTATTATTATTATCATCATCATTATCATCATTATTATTAAATTACAATATTCATTAAAGTTTACTAAAACAAAATTGCTGTTACATATATCGTAATAAGTGTCTTTTGACTGTCAACATGCATTTTTAAGTCAAATACAAAGTTTTGTAATCATTTTTAATATTCATCATATTTTATGTTTGTAAATCAATACCAACGAAATTTATAACAAATTTTTATACTGTGTTTGTGAAAAATATATACGTATAATATAAGCACATACAGTAAAGTTATTCATCAATGTTATGTTTTATTTAATAAAATGCATGTTAATAGGAAAAGAGACTAAAAAGTATCATAATGCTTTTAACTAATATAAAATGTACTACTATAAAGTAATCTTATTAATTTAGAATCTAAATTTTAAATTTGAATTTTTAATCACTTCGCATGTAACTTCTTTTATGAATTTGGAGTCTCAAAAGAAACACATCATGACAATTTCAAAAGAAAATTTAAAAACAAAAAAATAACTTTATTTTTTTCAATCAATTCTCAAACTTATTTTTTTAACTCCAATTATCAAAATTTTATCAATAATTAATAAAAATTATATATCTTGATACATATAGTATATATTCATAAATATTTGTGTAAAATTTCTATCAACGTATTTGAAATTTAATTACATTTTTGATGAGTCAGTTGTCAGATGAATATATTTCGTATCTCTTTTTTTTTTTTTTAAGAAGTAACTTGTAACATTAAACGGTGAGAATATATATGAGGAATGCGTGTAAAAAATTTATTATGTGAGAGTTATGTAATATTAGTCTGTATGTTAATAATAATTTAGTAGAAATTGTATTGAATATTTACAAACAATTTCATTTAGATTGCATTTAATCATTTATATATTTTTTATTGTAAGATAGTAGAGAAAAATTGATATGAAATGGTTGAAGTCCTTTTCTTTTTATAAAAAATTTTTAGATACTTTATGTTTAATAAATACTTGTAAAAATGTTAGAAAATTACTTTTATTAACCGACTATCATAGTTAAATTTGTTGTAAACAAATGTATTGTATATACCTTTGGTATAGAAAAATATTATATTTCATATTATATAAGATATCCAAAAATATCTAGCGCAAAATTGGACTAATTCATAAACAAAAAAAAGAAAGAATATATCTGTATAACAGTATATCTATAAAACATTTTTTATTAATAAGTTTTATTTTTTCATTTAGTCAAATTGTGCGCTAGATTTTTAAACAGTTAATACATAAAAAGTTATTAAAGCTTTTATATGTACTTAATATTATTCATTTGTACAATATATAGATATGAATAATTTCCGCGTTTTTTATATTCATGAAATAAGTAGGAAATTATATAAAATAGTGAATTATAATTTTTTAGTTGGAGATATTGAAAATAGAATAACAAAGAGCTATCTATTTCTATTTGTACGTTTATTGAACTTTGTTAAAAATATATTCAACTTAATACAATTTCACCATTTTTAGATGTGAACATTAAGTAGATTTTTTTACTTAATTCTGGGCCAATTTTACGTACAGTTGTAAATGGTCCAGCTGCTCTTCTAATCTGTAAAGTGTTAAAATATATTTATAAAATGTAAGTAAAAATAATTATAAAATATTAAATTTTAATTTATAAATTATTTTATTTTTAGAAGTCTTATTTGAAAAACATTGTAATAAATATTTTTTATTTACCGGGATATTTTTCAACAAATTTATTCCTTCATCATCTGTACAGTTCATATAAGCCTAAAAAGAAAGAGAAAAAATAGATAAAGGTAGCAATTTATATTTGTTACACACATATACTATATATTAATGTTTACTTCTATTAAATGTGCAGGACTTGGATACATAGAACAAATTGCTTCTGCAATTTCAAGACTGCTCAAATTAAATTGACAAAGCTGTTGTTGCCATAATCTTTTCAGTCCATTTCCATTTTTATCTACTTTCACAGTATTTCTATTATCTCCCATTACATACCAATCAAATTTATTTATTAAATTTTTATTTTTTTTTAATTTATATGGTACTTCTGCTATAGCTTTTGTATATTGATATATCATCAATGCCAGATCTTGAGAATTATTAATTAATCTACTGCTACAATCTGCAATAATTTGTATTTCATTGAGATATATCTCAAGTTGTTTCCTTGATATGTCATAGGAATATTTAGATAACTGAAGATACTTTTCGGTACAAGTTTTTTGTGTTTTCTTTTTTGTTCCACTTTTATCTGAGTTTTTTCCTTGTTCTCTGTAGGAAAAATAATCTTCTATACCATAAACCACTAATGTTATTTTGTAATCTGGTAATGAGCATTTAATGTTAGCAATAGATGTACAAAAGTCACCATTTGTTACTTTTGTTGCTACCTCATCCCAATTCCAGATTATCAATATTTGACTAACCTTTTCAACATCTGTTATTGTATGTATTTCATTGTCATCATTAACATAACTATTTTCAATATTTCTTTTCCACGTAATGCTATTTGAAATAAATTTCGTTTTAACGGTACATTTGACTTCAGCATCTCTCAATGTATCTGTTACATCTGTAATACAAGTAAAATTCGCAATGGCTTCATCAACAGTAACTTCTATAAATTTCATACATTCACTAGGTTTTATATTTTTTAATTTTTTAGCTGCAATTGCTTTCAGTGCTTTCTCTCTCTTTAACTGTTCCTGTTTCTTCAATTTCTCCTCATTTATTTGAATTCTACTTTTTTTCTCTATAGTACTTTTATCTTTCCTTTGCCTCTTTTTATTTCTATTCTCTTCATCTGAGCTACATGAATCAGAAGTATTATACAAAAACTTTCTAACATTATGCTGTTTGAAATGTTTGTTACTGGCAGTATGTTTATCATTATTGGTCTGATATGATGGTGCATTGCTGTTAAAATTAGAGGAACAGCTTGCATCTTGTGATCCGCCTACATTGTCTTCATTAATATGATAAAAGTTTATTTCAGGAAATTCAAAATCGCTTGAATCATCAGGTAAAGTTTTATTATTCGAATTTAGTTGAACGCATTCGTCTGAAGATTCGTTCGAATCGCTTAAAATGACAACATCCATAATTATTTCATTAAAGCATTCGTGAAAAAATTAGAAAAGTTTGCGCGTTCAAAAATGTTCAGTTCGTTTTCCAGATTCAGTGACATTTAAAAATCTCGTTTATTTTAAAGTACTATATTACACGTTACAAAAACATACCGAACATACAGCAAACGTGATAAACGTAGACGTAGTCACCAATGAAATAATCAGATGATATATATACTGATGAACTTTGAAAAAGACATTTTTTGATTGGCTGTTGCATTCTTGCGGCGAGTTGCATACACCGTGTATGCTATATAAGCGTCGCTTTAACATTCATGTTCCAAACTTCGGGCGTAGACCAGTTCCCCGGAGGTGTCGTTCGCTTTCCAACTATAGCGGAAATAATGACGTCATGAATAAAGAGTACATGGCAAATGGATGATACATCGAAGTGATATGGGACTATTTGTGTTAGAATTTTGATTTTTTGATGCAATTGATTTTTCAGACGAACGATTGTTTTGCGTAGGTTTTATTGACGATCCATAGATTTCGAACGGTAAATTTTTCATGAAGGTAAGAAAATTGTTATGCATAACGTCTTGCATCACGACTAGGAACTCCGATTTGCTTTGTTACGCTATCTTCATTATTTCTTGAAGCTGCTTTCGTAGAGTGGGAGTTCTCGCAACACGTATCTAACATAAACAAATGTAGCGACCACTGACTCATTCCATCTGTCTATTCATTTCACGCTGAAGTGGTACAGACCCTCCCATCCATTCCGGCTAGACTCGGTCCCGGCCCTACGATCACAATACAAAACGATAGCATACTTATACGATATTTTCTATATGAATTTTTTTTCGTATAATCAAACTATACCTGACGCACCCTGATTTTTTCAAACATTTACATCTTATTATCAATTATATCATTTAGTCCCTCTTTTTTTTTCTATAGACAGGTGAGTGAAAAATGTGGTATGTGTACATAAAATTTGTAAGTTTATTGTGCTTTATTATCATTATATGTTATTTTACTAAATGTTACAAATATAATAATACTAAAATAATTGGTAAAAAAAAAATTGTATAATATAGTTGTGATATAGTTGGGTTTTTGTATTTGATTTACATTTTGCAAATTACCTGTATCATGTTATGAGAGTACAGGTCATTTTTGTATTATACCTGTAAGTGTATCATTTTCAGAATTGTCTTGTTTAAAGTAACAAAAATGTCTGATCACTTTGGCCCGATAACTTTGAAATGGGATCCTAAGAATTTAGAGATCCGTACCATGTCTGTAGAAAAGACATTGGAGCCTTTAGTTTTACAAGTCACTACGCTTGTAAATACAAAGGGTCCTAGTAAAAAAAAGAAAGGAAAGTCAAAAAGGGCCAGTGCTTTAGTTGGAACTGTTGAAAAAGCAACTAGCAATTTTATTGAAAAAGGTGAACAGATAGCTTATGAAAATCCTGATATTACTGCAGAAATGTTAAGTGCTGTTGAGGAAGTAAAAAAAACAGGTGCTGCAATGAGTATTGCCGCCAGGTACCATATTTGTTTTATATTTACTTATTATACAGAGAATCTAAAATACATTTTAATATTATTGTTAATTAATTACAGAGAATTTTCTGAAGATCCTTGTTCTTCTTTAAAAAGAGGCAATATGGTTCGAGCAGCAAGAAACTTATTATCTGCAGTAACGCGTTTGCTTATTTTAGCAGATATGGTTGATGTGCATTTGTTGTTGAAGTCACTTCATGTGGTAGAAGATGATTTAAAGAAATTAAAAAATGCATCTTCACAGGGAGAGTTATTAGAAAATATAAAGCAATTTGGAAGAAATGCATCAGAACTTATGAATCAAGCTGCAAAACGTCAACAAGAGCTAAAAGATCCTCAATTAAGGGACGACTTGGCTGCAGCAAGAGCTGTTCTTAAAAAGCATTCTACTATGCTTCTTACTGCCTCTAAAGTTTATGTTCGACATCCTGAATTAGCTGCAGCAAAAGCAAATCGTGATTATGTTCTGAAGCAAGTGTGTGAAGCTGTAAATACCATTAATGATGTGGCACAAGGAAAGACTCCAGTTGACAGCCAACATCCTTACGAAGGACCTGGAGAATTGGCTGCTGCTTTAGATGATTTTGACGAAAGAATGGTAATGTCTCCACTTGCATATAATGAAGTACGTACAAGACCCAGTCTTGAGGAAAGATTGGAAAGTATTATCAGTGGTGCTGCATTGATGGCGGATTCTTCATGCACTCGGGATGAACGTAGAGAACGCATTGTTGCAGAATGTAATGCAGTTAGGCAAGCACTTCAAGATTTGTTGAGTGAATATATGAATAATGTAAGTATTTTATGGATTTTTGTGCTTCTATGATTTAAATATACGCTTTGTATGTATATAAGTTATTTATACATATAATACATAAGATATTTAAATAAATTTTAAAAATTACAATAATGTAGAGAATTTAATTATTTTTTTTTGATATCATTTATTTTGTTTTTTGTTTTACTTTGTAACATAGCATTTAAGTGTACGATATATATTAATTATTACTGTGTAATACGTTTATAATTACACATATACAAAAATATATGTCTCCATAAATATACTTAGAATACAATTAATTATATTATCATTTAACAAAATTCATTGATTTATGTATCTCTTAGTATGTTCATTTTACTCATTTGTTTTTTTATTTTTGATGACTGCAGTTACAGCTTGCTCGGGGTGGGAAACGGGTAAATATGAAAATCTTGTGTTTTCTTATTATTCTTGCATACAATTTACAGATTAAGCAAGAATTTTTTGTTGTTAAAATATTGTATTTTACCACACACAATTTATATATTTTAACAAGAAGCACTAATCAAATAATTTTTAATAACATTATACACTGATAATCGGTATACACTGATTTTGCAGTTGTTCCCTAAATTGCACAATTGTATATATACTTTGTAGATATAAAATAACAGATATGGCACCACATGTAATATGATTACAGATTCATAGAAATTAAGTAAATTAAATAAATAGTGTAGACAAATAGTGCATACTATATGATATAACTTAAGATTTGCAATGTAAAAATAGATAAACATAAAATTTATTTTTAAATTGATTATAGATTTTACCTGTATACATATATTTTTCTTTTATTTATAAAGTATTTTCCATAATTAAGAAAATTATTTTTTTATGTTGTACTATATTATTTTTTATGTTTGCTTATGTACATAGCTTTTCCTACAAAAATTTATTTTCATTAAGATAAATAGAAGTATAAATGTAACTAGTACATTAATTTGTCAGATATATTAAATACCTACATTGAAAAAAATATAGCATCTTTCAAATGAAATAAAATAATCTCTTAGCTAATTATTCCTTTTAACAATCATTAAAAAAGAGTTCTATCTTGCACTTTAATGCTATTAGTAAGGAAATAGCTTAGATTTTACTTGAATGCTTATAAAACAATTGTTCTTAGTCCAAATTTTTTAATTATGTACACATATATATATATGTATATATATATATATATATATATAT